AAGTTCAATCAGCGTGAATATTTATATAATGTTATTAAAGAGAGCTGACAAAGATTTGAAAGAGCCCATTACAACAATGATGACATTCTATATCACAGTACAGACGGATGGATGGATGGATGGATGGATGGATGGATGGATGGATGGATGGATGGATAGAGCTTGATCTCTGGCGGTTGGCAAGGAAAATAGAGGAGATATAAAAGCACAATAACACATCCACTTAAAATAAAAGTAAACCTGACTGCTCTGCATAGATGCTAAGGGTTAAGCACGTTCATTGCCTGCATCTGGGAGTCATTTAAAACATTCCACAAGGCTTACCACATGTTTTCAGACAGGCTAAACCCCATGAAGCAGATTTTGCTGTCCAGGGCTGGAAGTTTTCAAAGAGTGCATTTGAGAAAATTAAACTGTTAGCTTTTTGAAGGCTCGAGATGAGATGGTGTGAGGGTGGCAGAGAAGACTATATACTCGTTTGGGGATCTGTGACTATCCTTGCCTGTCTTTGCGTACCCATGCGTGTGTGGATCAGTCCTCTTTGAAGTGGTGGGATGCTAAATGGCGCTAGTTCTTTCCCACCCTCTGATAGGATCTTCACAGGCTTGCGTTCCCAGCTCATTTCCTCTGGTCAAGTCTTGTGACCCGTCAAAACACAGAAGGGTTTTAGGTGTTCGCTCTAGATGCGATACAAAGGCCATGCAATTTAAACCGTACGCAATTAAACAATGACACAAAATGACACGTTCACTCAACCCAAGTCCTGGTATTTCATTCCAGGGGTGTGGTAAGGAAACCCTATTTATTCACTTATTTTCATGATTCTTATACTGTATGTTAAACAGATTCAGGCAGAAATATCAGCCAAAATCAAACCAGGGCTTCCATTGTGCAGATCATTTCAATGTAACACTCTTTTCAGTTGTATGAAGGCTGTTCTTTCAATCATTCATTACTTTAGATATGTGAATGGTCCAGCCCGATCTCACGGCAATTCGTACGAATTCATACGACCACACTCGTACAAATTCGTACGATTTTTGCTAATTCGTACATATTTTACGAGTTACCAAATTCGTATGAATTCGTACGAATGAACTACCCCTGACCCCGCCCCTAAACCTACCCATCACGTGGGTTTAGACAAATCGTACGAATTCGTACGAGTGAGGTCGTATGAATTAGTACGAATTAGCCACCTTTAAATCACTCGTAAGAATTCGTATGAATTGGTCGTGAGATAGCGTTGGAATGGTCACAATGTCCAGTGAGATCACTGCAATTCAGAATGTAAAGTGCTGTGGCTGGACTAGTGAGCATTTTGACAGGAATGTGGAACCACCTCAAAACAGCTTCTAAAGACCTGGATGAGACCTCCAACCTCCAATTTCATCTTGAACTGTTAGCCAACGGCTACAAGAGGCTGGATTGACAGGTTGTGTTCCAGTAAAGAAACCATTTATTCGTTTTATCTACTGCAAAAAAACACTTTGCATTTGCCAAAGAACATATGGAGTGTGGAAGATTGGAGTCGAACAAGTCAAAATTGAACAACCTACCATTGGATGGTGTCAGTAGGAGACGACTGGAGTGTTTTACCAAATGCATGCATGACACCATTAAGCAGCAGAAACATAATGGTATTGGGGAGGCATGTATGCCGCAAGTGTTGGAAGGATCTACAGAGTTTGGAAATCCTGGTGAACACAATGTAGCCAAGAATGGAGGATCTTTTTAGAGATCAAATGTGTATTTTGCAACATGATAATGATCCCAAACACACAGGGCATTCAAAAAAGTTGCAATGCAATGAAAGAGTTCATGCTCAGCATTTTGAAGTCTTTAAGTGGCCTCCTCAGTCCCCTGACCTTAAAGCCATTGAAAAGCTTTGGGAAATTATAAACTTGAGTTGTGATAAGTCCTGCAGGTCTTCCGATGAAACTCAACTTTGGGAAGAACTTAAGGAGGATTGGAAAAAAGTTAAGCATGTCACAAAGTTGAGTGTGTCAATGCCCAGGACATGGCTGCTATGATCAAAAACAAGGGAGAACCAACAAAATGAATAACTAATTACACTGTAGTCAATGCGCTATTTCATTAGCTTCTTGTTTTTCTATGCCTTTTTTTGCATTATACAATAAAATCCATATTTCAATGCTGGAGTTTGCCTTTCTGGCCAAATAAGTTTGTCATTTTAATACCTTAAACAAGTTTAGTATATACTTGTTCCCAAATGACTTGACTGTTTAATAGACCCTGAAATGTCATTAAAAGAAAATATTGTGAAAATATCCCCCCCGCACATCACTTTTGGCCACTACAGTAAATACTGTACATTAATATGATTCTATACACGTTTGTAGATTTAAAAAGCAAAGCTCGGTTTTATATAACAGGGGGGGCCCTGCTCTGGGTCTTTGGCCTGAAAAGATTGAAGACCCCTATTTTAAAAGGTCACTTCACATAGGCATCATCGGTTCCATTATACCTGTGCTTCTCAGCTCCAGTAATGGGGACACTAAGCAGCTGATCAGCTGAATCAGCTACTTTAATGTTTGAGACATCTAAAACATTCTGGGAGGTGGGTCCCCGGGAATGAAGTTGAGAAACACTGCTAGGATTCACAACATGAAGTAACACAGCAATAAAAACGGCAAAACATCAACCCAAGACCATAAGTTTGCATAATCAGGAAAAGACTTTGTCAAACCTGGGTAAAATCCATTGTTTCTATATATTTCCGGAGAGATGGGAGAGATTGATCTGATTATGAGCACTCTGAAACCTATATTTAATCTTAGGCATGCGTTTCTAAATATAGAACCAAGAAAAAAGAGATTTTCCCCTCAAATCTCACATTGTATTTTTTTTTTAAAGAAGGGGATTATGAGTCATTTGAACAGCTATTGAAGCCCGTAGGCCAAGCAAACCACATGTGACATGACTCCATCTAGTTTATTTTTCTCTTCTGTAAATGGGACGTTCCCTCATTTGCAAGGTGATGGGCCATATAGGCAAAAGGTCTTGGCATTCTTTCAGCAGTTGTACTATTTGCAAACACACACTGAGGGATACCAAGAGGGGTCACTCAGACCGGGCAGTCATATTATATGATGGGTAGCAAACAAGTAGAGGCAAAGGCTGCTCCTAGAATTAGCTCACGTAAACAAGATGAGGGCAGACAAACTGACGACACCTCCCTGTTGAGGGAAAAATAGATTCAACAGGTCTGTGCTGCATGGTCTCACCTGGTTTAGGCTGTTTAAAATGGGCTCTCAACCTACTGGGCCCTAGGATCTGATATTAGTGTTGCATGTGGATGGCTTCTCTTCTGTTTTAAATGCATGGTTGCAAAAGAAGAGCTTTTGCAACTGAGAAACGGTGTCCTTGTCGTCACAGTAAAGTGGTAAAAGGTCTTAAGAGTGTGGATGCTCAGCGCTTGAGTAAATTCAAGAAATCATCACAATATCAACGGTGCTTGCAGCTGTTTTTCACACAGTGCACGTCACGATGTTGACACATCTGTTCTGAGACCACAAAGGACGGCAATGCAAATGTTGCTTAAAGCCTTCTGGAACCTTTAACATCAATATTGTACACTGTAAAAACGAAAAGATACTTTCTAGGGTTTTCAGACTGACACACTGGCAGCAACTCTAGGCACTCAAAGAGGTCTCAAATATTCTACTGTGCACTTAAAAAAACTTCAGCATATATATTTGAAGCACCTCAAAGCCTTTCCTTTATGATTTGTGGCAAGTGGACAATCTCGTTGACTGTGTCAAGAGTTCTTGTAGGAACTTATTGATTCCATTTTGTACATTCCTCATACCCCTTTTCCATCAAAACGTCGCTGTTTTTTTCTTCACACATCTGATGCTTATCAATAATATATTTTTAACAATACCATTTTTTTTAGACAGATAGGAGTTTACACGAGTTTAGATGAGCTTCTTCTGATGCAATGGCCAGCAGATATTTAAATATGAGGAAAAATCATAGTAATCAATTATTTTTGTAAATAAATTTTATTTTATTTTAAACATGAAAAAAGCAACTGGAGACATGCAACATGATTTACAGTATATTATCTATGATATTTGATATATGTTGGTGCTGTATCACTTAATTTAAATTCTTTGAGTAGACAATTACATAGGCCTACACCAATAGTCTGATTATTCCCAGTAATCACAATAAGGAATTACTCAGATTAAGATCGTTAAGTGAAATAAACCAGTGGTTCTCAACATTTTGTCAACAACAATACTCAAAGGCCCAATGACTTTTCCTGTTGTTCATGATTTAATAGCTATATATATTGTACTCACAATTTCTACCCCCTAAAATAATGTAGAGCTTGGCTTATCTAGGGAAAAATGTAAATTAATTATAAAAAAATGTAATTGATAATTTCTTAATTCATTTTATTAAGTTACATGACTTCTTCAGAAATCACACTTTTATAATTAGACTTTTTCAAGACTGTTGTTGAGAGGGTGAATTAAAATAAGAAATATCTCGAGTTTTGACTTCTTAAAGTCATCTTGAGGCCCCCTTGGAAGTTTGCTAAAGCCCTCAAACGGGCCCTGGTCGCCGGTTGAGAACCATTGCTAAATTTACCACTGATAAATTTGAGACAAATCTCTTCAATCAAGTTTACATGCCAATTATCATTAATTGAATCATAGGTGTGATGGGTTTTGTGCTATTTTTCCTCACCATTCACTCATTCCCAAACCCACAACACAAATTGTTCAATTGAAATGCAAAATGTTTGGCGGTTTTAGTGTAGGCCACCGAACCTTCCTCAATTTGTCAGGAAGATGCCCAATCCTGAAACACCTTTTAATTTATTACACTCTAAGAACTTCGAGCTGTTTATAAGTGTTTTAGTGACCTGAAACACAGCTTTGTCATAATGCAAAAGCACTAAACTTCCTGCATAACGCGCAGTGGTTACATAAAGGCGAGTACCAGCTGAGCTTGTGTTCAGTGGTATCGTGCCCTGAAGTGACACCGCGGAAGGGGAGAATGGGAGGAGACGGCGGCGGAGGCTGGCCGGTGTTCGGTTTCACCAGCTCACACGTGACCGCAATGGCTGCTTGTCAGTTCCTTGCAGTGCATCATTCCTCTGCCGCCCTGCGAATGTAGCCTAGGCTACATCAGTGCTCTCGCTTCTTTGAACTGTCGGTGCGGACAATACCACCCGCCGAAACGAAATTCCTCTACACGTTCAGCAGAACAGCTCACCGGCTGAGAAGAAGAACGACATTCGGGAGAGAAATTAAAGCGTCTCTGGGTTCAACTTCCACCAACCAACACAGCGGTAGGAGGAGTCAACAGGTATTGGCGCTCTCTATTTACGTGACAATACAATTGCTTGGCTGACAGGTAGCCACATTAATAGCGTCTTGACAGATGTGGAGCAGTGAATAGGCGCGTCCTTCGGCGCTCAGATGCGGTGTGCTACTTAACTGTAAAGCTGCCCGTTGAGTTTGATCGAAACCGCATACGGGGGTAATAATGACCGGTCTGCGGCTGCTACGTAATAAAATGCGCTGTATTGTTCTCTTACCTGAATGAGCAATGTGTCATTGAGAGCTTTTGCAGAAAGTATTTCATGCAAACACGGATACGCTGCACTATCCGAGCGTCCTGCATTGAATGAATTGAATTTCGTCGTGCGTCGACTTTATTCATTAAAAATCTTATTCATATTATATATTTGCCTATATAGGCATACCATGTTGAGCATGATGTAAGTGTATTTAACTGGGTCACTTCGTTCTACAAACAAAAGGAACAAATGTATGCCTCTATATAAGTAATTTCCTGCTTGGATGAACTCATTTGAAATAGGCTACTGCATTTCGGTCAACATGCAATATCTGAATACTGAGCAAGCAAAGTATCTGTTCACCTGCCCGAATCTGCTATTTAAAGTGATAGTTCACCCCAAAATTTTAATTAAAGGGATAGTTCACCCAAATATGAAAATTCTATCATCATTTACTCACCCTCAAATTATTCAAAACCTGTATGAATTTCTTTCTTCTGCAGAACACAAAAGAAGATATTTTGAAGATTGTCAGTAACCAAACAGTTGGGTACCATTGACTTCCATAGTATTTTTCTTCCCTCTGTGTATTATTTATTTTTTAATTGTAAATTTATGTAGCCTACAAATTAACTAGTTTTATGGCTCGTTTAAAAAGAACCTATGTAGGCTATAGGCCTAATTGGTAATTTCATCCCATACATAAGCAGGTTATATAACATAAGCAATAAGCCCCGCCAACCGGTCCGCGTCGTGCCTAACAACGCCCCGTAGCTGTTCTAAATTCACTGTAAAACACGGCTTCAAGGGTCTTATTGCTTTTATAAAACGGTTACTCCATAAAAATATTCATTTTAATATTTTTTTTATTCATAAAATAAACATCAGCAACAAAAAATATAACGTTATAACACATTTATTCCTCCGTCAAGCAATGTAGTTCCAAAGAGGTTGCCAAGCAACACATGCAGCAACAAAGAATCACAAACGGTAGTTGCGCAGTAATACTAATGTAATGCAGTCACAGGTGTATGTTTGTTGAGTAATTTACAACGGCTTCAAACGCGGCTCAACCAATCAGAATCAAGGACCGGAACTATCTGTTTTATAATTGGATTTTTAATACCTGATGCCACAGATATACATGTTATCCCGTTGACATGTATTTACTGTAAAATAGGAACCTTTAAAAACTATAACATACAGAACCAGTATATAGACCCAAATATTTTATTAGGAGATAAACAAGGAAACAAAAGGAGTTTGCCATGAAAACATTTTATTAGCACTTTGCACAAAGTAATGCAAGTGAAGCATTGATCAAATCATATTATTAAAAAAACAAAAAAAAAACGGTTGTGCTTTAAAATGTAAAATCTGATGTCTCACTGAAATACATGAGTGAATTATGATCATTTGCGTAAAATCCAGACTTTGTGCTGATCCACCAATCCTGATGGAAATGATTAAAGTGCTAATGAAACCGCTCTATTAAGCCTGAAGAACCTGGAGGTGCCGTCATGAAAGCATTCGTTTTTAAACAATAACTATTCTGTGTCTTAAGTACAGTAAAACATTAGCCAATATATCCTAACTAAAATTACCATGCTATAAACAATAAGATACGATTCTAGATTTAGCACTTAATATTTCTGTAATATGGCCAAATCATTCACAAAATCGTACACAAAGGAATGCGCATGCTCAGGCTTCAAGCGTCTTCGTCAATAAGGTTTGCTTTATTATAAACCAATGAAATTGGATGTGGGCGGAGCAACACGTGTAGCCCTGCCCCATCGCCCAGACTGCAATATGGAGTACTAATATTAGGCACTCGATTCACTTTGTGTACTGTTGGATTAACGGCTGAAATGAGTCATGCTTGTGATGCATTGAAACTATTCAGCATATGGTGTAAGAAGCGAAGTGTTTTCGGTTAGTTCTGTTTTCGCAGTTAAATGGGAAGTTCCTCGACCATCTGTCTGCAATAGAAAGAGGAATGGGTACGATATTTGCTTCCTCAAAGCACTGCCACTTTCATGCACGTCGTTTGCAGAGACATATGCTACAAAGCCTGACATTTCGATTTTTCCGTTCATGAAAGCGTGCTCAAGGTATCACCTCCTGTTGTGTTTGTCTCTAACCTTCCACCAGGGCTCTCAAATGTCCTCTGTCGTTCCGAAATAGCAGGGAGGGGAACACAAAGCTGACTGAATCAGGGTGCTATCCAATGCTGTCGTCCTTGCCATTTTTTCAGAAATCTGCTTTTTCACACTGCTGGATATGACTAGTTGACGGCGCCGCTCCTCTTTCCAGTTCTCTATTTTACCTCCCTCTCTCTCTCCAGTGGATTGATTTTAGCGTTCTCTCTCATTAATCATTTCAAATTGTCTGCAATATTGTATATTGATGGAACTGATGATTAGGTATTTTGGATCCCTGTCTTTAGTTCACACAAAAATGAAAATTCTTTCATTTACTCAACCTCATGTCGTTTCAAACCCATAAGACATTCGTTCATTTTTGGAACACAAATGAAGATTGCCCATCCATGTAAAGACTATGTAATCAACATTTTTAAACTAAATGCAGTACATTTGATAAATGATCCATAAGAATTGAGCGTAAAGAACATGGTTGCTTTGAATGATGAACAGATTATATTTTAGGTTTTTATTTACCTCGACAAGAAAAGTCAGTAGAAATCGGGACTAAAGTACTGTGTTAAAGTCAGGATGAGGGGAAGCTATTTTGATGAAAGCTTACGAGGGCACATGTATTAAAAAAAAGATATACACCGATAAATCACCTATAATAAATAGTACAATATTCCATCTAAACATAAGAATAGTCCATTTTGATTTCATGGTGACTTTAATATGAAGGAGTGTTGTATAATAGGGTTAATGGAAATGTTCATAAACTTATAATAATAATATCCTGGCAGAAAATGACCAGTAAATCTTTCTGTTTTTCGCATATTTTTGTATATGTACATCTTGCAGTGTAAGATTGGTGAATGCATATACACAGAGCATATCAAATATGTTAAACAGAAGCTCAAAAGGTGTGTTTGACCCATGAAAACAAACCTTATTGATTCTTGAAACATGCATGCATGTTTTAGCTTCCATTTACCATATTTGATCTTAAATTTACATTTATGCTTTTATCCAAAGCGACTTGCATTGCAATTCAAGGTACACATTTACATTCTTATCAATTCTTGGTTTCCCTGGGACTCGAACCCATGATCTTGGTGTTACAAGCACCAACGCTCTACTGTTTGAGCTACAGGAAAGTCTAGAAAGATAGATGCGTGATAGATGCGCTCCATGTGCGTTCGTCAGTGTTTATGTGTTGGATAGGGTATAATTTCATGCAAAGAAGAATTCTGAGTTGCAAACTTCCAAACAATTTGACATCAATAAAAATCAGAATCATATATATATAAACAATGAGAGATGCTGTAGGGTGTCAATACAGTGACAGATACATATAGATAAACACATTTTGATGCTTACAATGAGAGAATGATTTTTTTTCTACAGTAAAAAAGCTCTTAATATAGTCAACCAGAGAAAACCTATACATTTGATTGATCAAATGGAGTTGCAATGGTTAAGACATTTTTATTTGAGTTTTTTGTGCAATCATGTGCTCATTTTCCAACAACATACTGAGTGTGAGTCACTCTGATACTGATCTTTTGACAAATCCGAAAAAGTACAGCTGAAAATAAAAGACTTTGACCTCGTAAATCGTAAAGAAAATAAGGCGGTCATATGACAAAAGAAGCAGAAATCTGTCCTTGAGCCCATGTAAGTTCAAAACTCATGCAACATGTAAAAGCTGACAGCTGTTTACTTCAGTCTATTGTTTTGTTTGCTGTAGGTTTTCCATACAGAATTACTAGAAGTACTTTGCCGCTGCCCGGTGCTCAGGCCACAGTACTTTGGCTTCTTTCTTATTTTGTCTAGTTTCTGGTCACAATTTTTCATCTTCTTGATTTAGATATTTTGGAATCTCACACTGCTCAGAGACTCCTGGCAGAGCTGCTTCTTTTGTGGTCCAGTTCATTTCATTGTGGTGGAAAAGGTGAGAATGGGATTTGTGACTTAGGTGAATTTTTACCAGATTTGCAGGCAATGTAAGGGTGATGAAAGTTGCTGACCTTTTTTGAAATGGAACATTGTAATTTGTTTAGCTCTTTTACTGTCTGTTTGGTAAACAGACAACCTGTCTTCTATACTCCGCCAGTGGCTTTGTCTCTGTTTATGCTCGCGTGTATTCTTTACATATGTTCATTTGTTGGCATGAGACCAGATTCAGCATTTCGGTCCATGTTTCTAGGTCTATAGGATACTAATTTTCATTTCCCCTTCAATTAATTTCCCCTTGCCCATTTAGTCATTTAGCAGACACGTTTATTCAAATTGATTTATAAATGAGGAACAAGTATTTTACAATTACCAACAATATTCGTAGTACTGCTTTACAACTTATGTTGCAGAAAAAACATCTCTTATTGTTTAAGTATAAGTCCTCAGTTGAAGCATGTTTCGTGACTGTGGGAGTGAATCGTGATAGACAGCTAGTTTCAGTGTTTTGTTTGTTTTTAAATTATGTTTATCTGTGTTGCTTTAATTAGTTAGTTAGCTTTAGCTGTTAGACAGTTTGCACCGTAAAACCCTTGAAAGCACCACTGCTACAGCCATACACATGCAGGTGAAAGTCTTTGTCCCTTGCGTTTCATTGCGCCATAAATGTTGTTTTCAAAAAAAAA